GAAAACAGAAAAATCAACAAAAGACAAGAGAGATTTGCTAAATCAACATTACGCTATTACGTCATTTTACCATAATTCGCTAAAATAGTATGTCGCTTTTTCATCATATTTTACAGTACTTTGTTAAAGTAGCAACTTACCTCTTCTTGACTTTAAAATCAATTTTTTGTTGACCCTGCAATAAAGGATTACCACTCAAAATGTTTTCTGTTCTAATTCGTTCTTCTTCAAGCTTTTGTTCTGTTTCCTGTAAGGAAAGTAATTGTTACTTAGAAGTCATTTTCTTACAATAATTTTGTGGACAGGACATTTCAAGTCCTGGATGTATTGAATTGAACATTCATTTCAACCCTTCTTTTGTCTGCGGCTGAAACACTAGAAATTGTCAACATAGGCTTATGTAAATGACAGAGGTGTGGTCTATGGTCAAAATAAGTCATGATTTAATGACAGCATACATTAAATGTAATTTTTAGTTTATGTGCACTTCTGTTACAGTGATGGCACATCAAATTTACACCGACTTCAGTGTTCTCCCCTAGAATTTAAATCAGTGTGGTGGACTCATTTGCATATTATTTGCATATAATTTACATAATAATAGAGGTTGACCAAAACACATTTACACCCACACAACAGACAACATATATTTTCAAAAAGTGGCACATATTTATTTGCTTCATACAGTGTTATTAAACACTATTCTTTTGGGCACTTTTGTAATATTAATGAGCTCAGTCACAGTGCAAATATTTTTTTATTGGAGTCAAAAAATTACGTTTCACAATTTAGAAGAGTTTGAATTTAAAAATGAAACATTCTCGAATCGTAATGCAAATGCTGCAGACTATTAAAAACAAACAAATAAATTGTAAAAAACAAGTCATTGTCAATGACACGTCCCCGTTCCGTTCATATTTGAGTGACATATACATTCAAAGCAGATCATGACCGAAATGCACCTGCATATGTACAACACATTGTGCTAAATCTGAACAAAATCCATCCATGCATGACTGAGATCCGGTTCTGGAATTGTGAAAATATGTGATTTTGATGCATTTTCGGCCTTAAAATGGCCATCATTCCGCTATTGTTAAGCAGATCATGAAACAAATGCACATATCTATTTGTGACATGATGTACCATGTGTGTGTGAAGTTTGATCAATCCAGACATGTCTTGGATACGGATCCACAACTGAATTCTTTAACAAAATGGCCGCCAGTCGGCTATTTCGAACTTGATCCGAAAAAAAAATGACGTGCATCAAGGTCCTATTATGTTTAATGTATGTACCAAATTTGAATGAAATCCGTCCATGCATAACTGACATCCGGGTCCGGAATGGTGAAA